AAAAGGAATCAGATTCAGATGAACATGCACCCCACAACATATAAGGGGTCGCTCCAACTTTTTTTCGAATGGGAACGGAAGCCACTGGCTGCTCCTGTGGATGACATCAACCGCGTGGCGACGTGAACAAAACGGTTAAAAAAAAAAGGAACGGGCAACAGGTAGCAAACTGTTCACCCCCACAACGCATTTTTTCCTTGGAGAGAAACAAAATGTGTGTGTGTGTGTGTGTGTGTGTGTGTGTGTGTGTGTGTGTGTGTGTGTGTGTGTGTGTGTGTGTGTGAGGTATTAAAGTGATGGACTCGGGTTGAGTTGCAGGATGCGACCAGCCTCACGGACAATTCCATCGCCCCAACGGCAAGGCAAGGTACACATGCAAACACACGTGCAAAACTGCACAGACATGTGCTCCCATGCATGGGACACAAGCACCCGTGCACACACGCACCTTTCTCCACAGCTGGTTTGCGTATTCGTTTGAGATTTGCACGAGCACGCCTGGCTGGGGCACGCGCTGCTGGCACTGGTGTTGGGCAAGCGGATAATGGAAGCGCGCGCACAGCGCTAGCACTTGCTCTCTGTCGTGTTGGTGTATATGCGAATATGTGGGTGAGTGAGAGCGAGTTAAAGAGAGAGAGAGAGAGAGAGAGAGAGAGAGAGAGAGAGAGAGAGAGAGAGAGAGAGAGAGAGAGAGAGAGTGTGTGTGTGTGTGTGTGTGTGTGTGTGTGTGTGTGTGTGTGTGTGTGTGATAGACAGAGAACAACTTGAGAATCGTTGGAGGAAACCGGACAAAATGACTCGGTAGTTCCTCCTCTCAATTGACCACTCCACTCGACTCGACCGACTGCACCTCTCCTTCGCGCGACCGCTATCACCATCGCCAACAAGTAGCGACAACCAGCCTCTTCCAGCAACGACAGCACATGCCTGCACCAGAACATCTCGCTCTGCACCATACGCACGCGTGTGTTGCGACGCGAAAAACTGCGGCCGACCGTGGAAAAACAGCGAGCACGTGCGTGTTTCCAAACGCGTTGTAGCCCTCCACGTCCATGCGTTGCACAACGAAGAACGACGTCAGCGCAAGCACAGAGCCTGGACATGCGAAAATGGTGGTGGCGGTGGTGATTGAGAGCGAGCGACCCGGGGGAGGGGTTCAGAATGGGTATTTGATGGTACGATGCAAGCCAACAAAGAGTGCTAACGATATGAGCCCTCATGCAAGACGCGTTTCCAGTTGACACACACACACACACACACACACACACCGCACACATTAACACACACACCGCACCAAAGCTGCCGTGTGAGAGCGGTATTTTCTGTTGGAATTGGCCGTCGGCAGCAGTGACGATACAGCTCTGATCACCACCACCATCACCATCATCATTGTCACCACCGGCTCGCTCAACGAAGAAGAACATGTGCTGGCCTGCGGTCAGAGAGAAGGATGATGTGGAACAGATGTGTACGGGGGTCAGCAATGCGCAAACGCACAGGGTGTGAAAAATGCGCACATTACGCGCAATCACACACATGAAAATATATAACACCAACAACAATGCATCCTCCTCCTCCTCCTCCTTGCACTGCACACACACACACACACACGCACACACACACACACGCACACACGCACACACACACACACACACCTGTTGCTGCGATGTGTCGGGTGTGCGGCGGACACTGGATGATTCGCACGAGACGAAACGGAGCAGTGCGGAAATTGTTGCGCACAAATAGATACACGCGCGACGTGTAGTGCACGTACACGTGTTCCCCGGCGCACACGATGGCCTGCACAGCCTCCGTCTCCTCCACCCCGCCCGTGTTCACCAGCGTTGCGTGCGATGGTACGTGTGGCGGTGTTCGGCTCTGCTCCCTCGTCCCAGTGGCTGTTGCTGTCGTCGTCGCTGCTGCTGTGGCAGAACGGCCATGGACACCGCTCTCACAAGCATTGCTATCATTGGCGTCGTTGCCATTGTTTCCCGCATCATCGTGGTCACAACTCGCTGGCGTGTGTGCACGTGCTGCGCTTCGTTGTTCAGCCGTGCGTTGCGACTCCGGGTTGGTGCCGGTGTCGCGTGCTGTGGGTGTTGGGGTTGGTGTTGTGCGCGAGGAGGGGGTGCTGATACCCGTGTTGCTGCTGGCTGGAGATGACAGCTGCTGCCGAAACGACGAGAGAATGGTCCCCGTGCTCGGATCACAGCAGAACACCTGATGGTGCATGCTGAACAACAGCATCTCTTGTTCACAGCACAGGTTTCGCAACGAGGGGGCGGCCGTGCTAGCGTCGTGCCAGGCAACGCTCAGCACCGACGTGCGCCGTGATGATGATGACGACGATGATGAGGATGTCGACGACGATGACGACCCACCGCGCAGTGCAAGGATGGAGCTCGGCTTATGGGAGACGTAGAGCGTTCCCGTGCTCATGTCAAAGTCGGATGGCATCTGCAGCGCCACCACCTTGTCCTCACGGCTGCTCCAGCACTCGAGCGTGTCCTGTTTCCAGTTCCAGCACCACACCAGGCCCGTCCCCGTCGCAAACGCCACGCAACATGACGCGCTGCATGCGATGTGCAGAATGGATCCCACCATGGTCACATCCCTAGACACGTGTTTGCCACTGAGGGTGCGTGTGTGTGCGTGCGTGTGTGTGTGTGTGTGTGTTTCGTGTGTATTGGTGTGTAAGTGTAAATGCAACAGGTGAATGCACAGAAGCAGAGGGTTCACGGCGGCACAAAACGATCCGGAAGCGTGGTGCGATGCGGGCATGGCACACATGCGCATGATGCCACTCACACATTGAGGGAGACAAGGAAATTGCCATTGGTGCTGAACACAAAGAGGTTGCTGTGCGTCGTGCCGATGACATAGTAGGTGGCACAGGATGCAATCGCCGTAAACGTCTGTCACACACACACACACACACACACCAGCACACACACCAGCACACACACACACACACACACCAGCACACACACGCACGCACGCACCCACATCGGCAATGGGATCGAGCGATAAGATGAATGCGTGAGGTGCATGGAATCCAGCGATCTGCCATGTTCGCCACATTCCTTCAGACACTGATCTCGCCTCGCCTCGAGAGAAACCAACGCAAACAAGAAGCAACATCAATATCATACCTCCTCGCGTTGAAGGAGATCTGCATCTGGGGCCCAGATCTCCGCCATGTACACTAGCGAGTCAAAGCTCATGGCTGTTCTTTGTGTTGTGCGCTTGCGCGTGTGTGCACCTCAGCCAACCCTCTCGCACACTGGCTCTCCTGCTTGCGCACACTGGCTCGCTGGCTCAGCTCGCAAACAACAAAGCACACAACACACCAGCCAGCCACACGAAAACACAAACAGCAACCTGTCCTCTTGTTCCACCAACTTGATGAAACTTATGTAAAGATATAGCAAATCGTCACTATCCACGCCAACTCTCTCGTGTGTGCTCTTCTTCTCTCGTTGCTCTCACGTGTGTGTTCTTTTCCTCTCCTCATTTCCCTTCTTGCGTGTTGTGTAACTGCTGCAGCTTGGCTGACCTCGTTCAGAGCGCACACATACATTGCTTCCAACGCCAGCAGCCACCGACCATTTCTTCCTCACCGACGCACAAGAAACCAAAGACCATGGGTGGCCACGACGCCGAGATGGAGTTTGCAAGCGACAGCTTCAAGGCGCTTGTCAAGGAGAACGGCAAGCTCAAGTACCAGCTCGCCCACCTGCAGCAGGTGTGCATGTGTGCATGCGCGTGCGTGTGTGCGTGTGTGCGTGTACATGCGTGTGTGCGTGTGTGCATGTCTGTGTGTTCATGCATGTGTGTGCGTAGATTTCTTGTACTCGAGTTTTTTTTTTTTTTTTGGTGACCAGATTTTCGTGCGCTCACGTCCCTGTTTGTGTTGCTTGCACAGACGCTCGAGGAGCTCCGCAAGCCGGCCGAATTCAAGTTCGAGTGAGTGTTGCGCCTAAGATGAACCAATTCACGCTCGCATGTTACACTGCCGCCATCCTAGGGCGTCCTTGTCCCCTTTCATCACACACACACTCACACGCACACACACACACACTCACACGCACACGCGCACACACGCACACGCGCACACACGCACACGCACACACATACACACTCTCTTCACGCACATACCCCCCCCCCCCTCATAAGCACTCCCTCGCTCACTCACGCGCCCTTCCTCCCACCTCTCGCAGGGACAAGCCCGACCTCGCCGTTGATACGATGCGCGTGGTCGCCGACCTGATGCGGTCCACCATCGGCATTGCCTTCCCGGAGTTTGCGGACGTGGACCCGAGCATCACCATCCCCGCCGCCAAGGTGAAGAACGCCGGAAGCTACCAATGCAACGCGGCCATGAACATCAACAACAAGCTCAAGAAGCAGGGCGTCAAGAGCAACCCGCGCGAGGTGGCGCAGAAGATTGCCGACAGCCTGCCGGAGAACCCCGTCGTGGACAAGCTCGAGGTTGCCGGCCCGGGCTTCATCAACGTGCACGTTGCCAAGTCCTTTGTGCAGGCGCAGACGAACAAACTCCTGCGCAAGGGCGCACTGGCCCCGCCCATTGACCGCAAACTGAAGGTGATTGTCGACTTTTCGTCACCCAACATCGCCAAGGAGATGCACGTGGGCCACCTCCGCTCCACCATCATTGGCGAGAGCATTTCCCGCGTGCTTGAGTTTGCCGGCCACGAGACCCACCGCGTCAACCACGTTGGCGACTGGGGCACGCAGTTTGGCATGCTAATTGCGCACCTCAAGGACGAGTTCCCAGACTACAAGACCAAGGCACCGCCCATTGGCGATCTCCAGGCCTTTTACAAGGCGTCAAAGGTTTGTGTGTTGTTTGTGTGTCTGTGTGTGTGTGTGCGTGTGCGTGTGCGTGTGGGTGGGTCTCTGTGCCTTGCATGTTGTGGTGTGTTGTGTGTGTCTGTGTGTGTCTGTGTCTGTGCCTTGCATGTTGTGGTGTGTTGTGTTGTGCGTGCATGCATTGCTGCACACATGGACACTCGCGTGCTCTCCGTAGCTCGCCCCACACCCACCCACCACACACACCGCACACCAACCACACCCCACCGTGCAGGTTTTGTTTGACCAGGACGAGGAGTTCAAGAAGCGCGCGTACGGGGAGACGGTGAAGCTTCAGTCTGGCGACCCGGACGTGACGCTGGCGTGGCAGCTCATCTGCGACGTGTCCCGCCGCGAGTTTCAGGACATTTACAACCGCCTTGATGTGACGATTGAGGAGAAGGGCGAGTCGTTCTACCAGTCGCGCATGCAGGGCGTTGTTGAGGAGCTCACCAAGAAGGGCCTGGTCAGTTGAGCCGATGGTGGTTGTATGTTTGGCCGCGGGGGTGGCGGGGTGGGGGCGGGTGTTCGTAGTGGTTTGAAGCGCTGTCATGTGTCGTCTGTTTTGCCTGTGCTGTTGCGGAAGGGAATGAGTACAGTGATAGATGCACGTGCGTCTCCCTCAAATCCAACTCACCACCACGCTTCCGTGCACGCGTGCTTGTTCCTTTTCTCCCTTCGTCCCTCGCCCCCGGCCGCTGCAGGTGATTGATGACCCCGAGAACCCTGGCCGCAAGATTGCCTGGACCAGCGCTCGCGAGCAGACGAACATTCCACTCATTGTCGTCAAGTCGGATGGAGGTGCGACCAACACATGCCCATCACCTGCTGCTGGGTTGTTGGCGCTGCTGCTGACGTGTAGACAAGATACTCACACTCTCACACACACACACTCCCTCACACACACTCCCTCACTCACACACACAATCTACTTCACACGCACTCACACACACACACACACACACACACACACACACACACACCCTCACACACACACACACACACACCCTGTGTTTGTGTGCAGCGTACACGTACGACACGTCCGATCTTGCGACGCTCCGCTACCGCGTGCAGGAGGAGAAGGCCGACTGGGTCGTCTACGTCGTTGGACAGAGCCAGGTGCCAGGCAGTGGGAGGGGAGGTGGTGGCGAACTGAGCTTTTGTGGTGTGGTGCTTCCGGGATTCTGCTTGCTTGACCCTGTGTTGCAGCCACACACACACACACACACACACACACACACACACACACACACACACACACACACACACACACACACACACACACACACACACACACACACACACACACACACACACACGCACGCACACAGTGCAGCGCCAAAGCTGAGATGCAATCACGATTGCTCACCCTTGGCTCTTGTTCCATCTTGCCAAAGGTGTGGGACTTTGAATCTGGGGAGTTTGAGCGGACGCTCAAAGGTCACACCAAGGCGGTCAACAACCTTGCCTTTGACAAAGAAGGACGCATGCTTGGTACAGTTTCCCGCACGCGCATTTCGTGTGCGCACACGCACACAAGTGCACAAGACCCGAAACACCTGCACTCACAAACTCTTGCCGACTCACTCACTCACCCACCCACACACTTACATTCACACTTACATTCACATGTGTATGTTGGTTGAACAGCGTCTTGTTCTGCAGACACAACCATCAAGCTTTGGAACTTTGAAACATACACTTGCGTCAAGACCTTGCAAGGTACTGGTCGTGGCATTTTCTTTGGTTCAGCTTCCATGCAGACATGATCAATCTTGTTGCCCTACGTGCTGACGGCCACTGCCATGAGCCACACTTAAATACACACACACACACTCTCTCTCTCACTCTCACTCTCACGCACACACGCACACTCACACACAGATGTGCCATCACAAACACACGTACACACACACATACACACACACAAACACACACACTCTCTCACGCACGCTCACACACACATACACACACACGCACGCTCACACGCATGTCCTTCTCCCGACGTGTAGGGCACGAGCACAACGTGAGCGGGGTGTGCTTTGACCCGAGCGGAGACCTGCTCATATCTGCGTCGCGCGACAAGACCGTGCGTGTATTTGAGGTCGCCACGGGTCTCTGTGTTCGCATCCTCGAGGTCAGGAAGAAATTTCACTGCTGTCACACACACACACACACACACACACACACACACACACACACACACACACACACACACACACACACACACACACACACGCACACACACACACACAAACCACACTTACACGAATGTGTGTGCGTCTGTCACCACCACCACCACTGCATGGTGTAGGGCCACACGGAATGGGTTCGGCGGGTGGATGTGTCAGCAGATGGCGCCTTTTTCGTCAGCGGTTCAAACGACCATGTGAGCTGATGACGGTTGCTGTGTTGGTGCATGTTGTGATTGTCGTTGCCGTGTACATTTGTCCTCCACCACAACTTCCTTTCCTCTGTCTCACCTTTCGCACACACACACACACACACACACACACACACACACATACACACACACACACACACACACACACACACACACACACACACACACACACACACACACACACACACACAACAATCAACACCGCGTTGCCAGACGGTGCGGGTGTGGGATGCGAAGAGCGGGGAGTGCCGGCACGTGCTGACGGGTCACGATCACGTGGTGGAAGACGTCAAGATTGCGCCCCAATCGGCCACGCCAGCCATCAACACCCTCGTCCTCGGCGAAGAGGTGACTCTTGGACATTCGTGCAGTGGTGGTGGTCGTGGTGGTCGTGGTGGTCGGGGTGGTCGGGGTGGTCGTGGTGGTCGTGGTGGTCGTGGTGGTCGTGGTGGTGAATGACGGTCATGGTTCGGGGTGTTGTGTTCATGTCACAGGTACATTGGACTGCTCAGCAATGTCATGCATGCACGCACGTCAATGTCGGTTGCAAAGACTCTGATGAGAGTATGATATGGCTCACTCCCTCCCCCACCACCTCTTCCACCACATTGCCCCCGCATACATTCAACCCCCCTCCCCTCCCCCACCATCAACCGCAGACGAGCGAGCCACGCGTTGCGGGCCCGTTTGCAGCGAGCGGCGGCCGTGACCGCATCATCTGCATATGGGACGTGTCGACGGGGCAGGAGCTCGGCAGGTTGGTGGGTCACGATAACTGGGTACGCGCCCTCGCCTGGCACCCGGGCGGCAAGTACCTCCTCAGCGCTTCAGATGACAAGGTGATATGATGCAGAGGGGTGCGTGTCTTGTGCGTGTGTGTGTGTGTGTGTGTGTGTGTGTGTGTGTGTGTGTGTGTGTGTGTGTGTGTGTGTGTGTGTCGTGTGCGTGTGCGTGTGTGTGTGTGTGTGTGTGTGTGTGTGTGTGTGTGTTTGCGTGTGTATGTGTGTGTGTTTGCGTTGTTGTGAAAGGGTGATTGCTTCATGGGTGCATCTTCGCATCTTATCATATGCTTCACCCCATCAACATCATACGCTTGTCACTGCAGACCGTGCGCGTGTGGGACATTGCCACCAAGCGCTGCGTTAAGTCGTTCCCCGCCCACTCCCACTTTGTCTCCGCCATCGGTGCGCCTGTGTGTGTGTGTGTGTGTTTGTGTGTATCTGTATCTGTGTGTCTGTACCTGTACCTGTGTCTGTGTGTCCGTTGCGGTGTGTGTCTCTGCTTCTTGACCCTAACGCTCATGCAAATTTTCGTTGTGCTTTCCCACTCCTCACACACACACACACACACACACACACACACACACACACACACACACACACACACACACACACACACACACACACACACACACACACACACACACACACATACACACAGCGATGCAGCCCAAGGCCATGTCTGTTGCGACGGGAAGCGTGGACCTGAAGGTCAAGTTCTGGGACTGCTCATAACCGCATCATCACCTCACACCAAAACACACACACACACACATGCACGAGTGGAGAGGCCATGGGCGTGCGTGTCAGTGTACATGTGCTTGTTCTGGCGCTTTTGGATTGGTGGTGGATGTGCAAGTGGAAGATGGGATGCCGAGAATGCAAGTTTGTTGCTGGTTCAGTGCAAGGGGTCGTGGCGTTGTGGTTTCAGTCAGATTACACAGCTTCTTAATGGGGAAGGGGTACAACCGTCACGCACGGCACGTTACTTAGGTATGGCACACTGGAAAGGGAAGAGAACGCTCACCACACACACACACACACACACACACACACACACACACACACACACACACACACACACACACACACACACACACACACACACACACAAACACACACACCAACACACAAACACACACCAACACACAAACAAACACTACACTCCCATTACATCATGACCGCGCAGCAGCAGCAGCAGCAGCAGCAGCCTGTTCCTTCTCTGCGCGCTCCCTCTCGGCCTCCTCGATGGCCTTTCGCAACTCGTACTCGCGCGTCCACTGCCGCTTTTTTGCCTGCAGCGATCGCGCAGTCGGCGTGTCGTACAGACACTCCTCCCCGCCTGAAGCACGCATGTGTGTACATATGTGGTGGGGAAAGGGAGTGAATGTGCGGTAAGCTGCTGGGCGTGTGCTGGATGCTTGCAGCACACAAACGTGACGCCAGACGGCACATCACCGCCCACCACCACCACCACCACCGCCGCCACCACCACCACCACCACCACCACCACCACCACCGCCGCCACCACCACCACCACCACCACCACCAACAACAACAACAACAACAACAACGACCACCACCACCGCCACCACCCTCCTCACGCTTCTCCTCCGGCCATTGCTCAGTGCACCAGCGCTCCTCCCCGCACCGTCGCGAGCGGCGCGGCCCTTGCGAATGGCGAGCTCCATCAGGTACAGCATCAGGAACACCGTCAGCGATGCCGTCGCAATGCGCAGCCGCCCAAACGCAGAGTTCATGGTTGCAAGGCTGTTAAGTGGTGGGAGAATGAAGGGAGGAGGAGGGTGAGGCGAAGGAGAGCAGATGAGCTTCAGCAACCACGAGTAGCAACGCAGTAGTGGAAGCAGGGCTGAAGCGAGCATGGCAAACACGGACACACACATTGTCACCACGCTTGTTGTCAGAGAGAGAGAGAGAGAGAGAGAGAGAGAGAGAGAGAGAGAGAGAGAGAGAGAGAGAGAGAGAGAGAGAGAGAGAGAGAGAGAGAGAGAGAGAGAGAGATCCACACACACACACACACACACACACACACACACACACACACACACACACACACACATACACACACACACACACACACACACACACACCATGTATCCGCATGTGCGCACGCCTTTGCTGTTCCTCTCATCTGCCTCCCAAACACACACGTGCGCCCATGTCCAGATCTGCCCAAGCCAACTACGATCAAGCAAGCCCTGCGCAACGGGCTTGGCTTCTTCAGCAAGCTGCAAACCGCAGATGGTGTGTGTGTCTGTGTGTGTGTCTGTGTGTCTGTGTCTGTGTGTCTGTGTATGTGTGTGTCTGTGTTCCCCTGCCTGCTTGCTTGCATGCTTGCCTGTTCTATCCTTCCCTGTTTGTCTGCCCTCCGTCCGCCTGTCTGCCTTTAGTGTCTACTCGATCCTTGTGGGTTGCTTTCCTTGTCCATGGCCATGTACTATGCCCCTCTCACACACACCCTGCTCTCCCCACACACCACTGCTCGCGTTCTTTCTCCCCCGGCCCACCCCTGGGTTACTTCAACATGAAGGCCACTGGGCGGGCGATTATGGCGGCCCAATGTTCCTGCTGCCTGGCTACGCCATTGTCATGTACATCACCAAGCAGCCCATCGAGGACGAGGCACGCGCAGAGATCATCCGCTACCTCTCCAACCTGCAGAACCCGGACGGCGGCTGGGGCATCCACATCGAGTCCGAGTCAACTGTCTTCGGCACCAGCCTCAACTACTGCGCCATGCGCATATTGGGTGTTGACCGCGCAGATGACCGCCTGTGCCGCGCGCGTGTGTGGCTGGCCGAGCGCGAGGGGTGCCTTCGTGTGCCGTCGTGGGGCAAGTTCTGGCTCGCGGTGCTCAACGTGTACTCGTGGGAGGGCGTCAACTCGCTCTTCCCCGAGATGGTGCTGCTGCCGCAGTGGTTCCCCTTGCACACGCAGCGCATGTGGTGCTACGCGCGCACGGTGTACATGCCCATGTCGTGGCTGTACGGCAAGAAGTACCAGTGCCCCGTCGACTCGCTCATCCACGAACTCCGCAGCGAGCTCCTTCCAAAGCCCTTTGACGAGGTGTGTGTGTGTGTGTGTGTGTGTGTGTGTGTGTGTGTGTGTGTGTGTGTGTGTGTGTGTGTGTGTGTGTGTGTGTGTGTGTGTGTGTGTGTGTGTGTGTGTGTGTGTGTGTGCGTGTGCGTTTGTGTGTGTGTGTGTGTTTGTGCGTTTGTGTGTGTGTGTGTGTGCGTGTGCACGTGTGCCTGTCATTGCCTGCTTTTGCCACCTGTCTGCACCACGCAGCTTACAAACGCCTACATGCACACCCATGTGCACACTGCTGCTACTGCTGCTGCTACAGATCAACTGGGCGTCCTACCGTAACGAGGTGGCGTCCGAGGATTTGTACACGCCGCACACGCGCGTGCTGGACGCGTTTTATGCTGCCGTGAACGTGTACGAGAAGTTTGCGCCGGCGTTCCTGCGCCGCTGGGCACTCGACTGGATCTACGAGGTGCAGGGCCTGGTGGTGATCTGTTTGTGTGTCTGTGGGCCTCTGTGTGTCTGTGTGTGTCTGCGTATTTTCTCTGTGTGTCTGTGTGTGTCTGTGTGAGTTGCATATGTGTGCGTGTCTGCAAGTTTCATCTCCTGGCAACTGCGAATGCACTTTCACCTCATTCGCACTCCCCCCCCCCCTTCCCTTCCCTGTCCCTTCCCTCGAAACAACTGCTGTCTCTGCTGCTGTAGGTGCTGGAGAAGGAGAACGAGTTTACGAACAACATCTGCATCGGCCCCATCAACAAGATGACAAACATGCTCATCGTCTGGTGAGGGACTTGCGTACGAGAGAGAGAAAGAGAGAGAGAGAGAGAGTGTGTGTGTGTGTGTGTGTGTGTGTGTGTGTGTGTGTGTGTACGCGTTGTGTGTCTGTCCGTTCGTGTACAAGTGCGTCGTTTCAGGAATAGAAGCAAGCGCATGTACAATTGTTTACTTACGCTCCACCTCTCAACACTTACACCACCCCTCCCCCAAACACACATACACTCTCGCACGCCTACATGTTGTTGCTTGACACCTGCCTTGGCTCATCAGGATCCAGGAAGGTCCCGAGAGCACTGCGTTCCGAAAACATGCCGAGCGTGTTAAGGACTACATGTGGCTCGGGCGTGATGGGATGAAGATGAACGGCACAAACGGCTCGCAGCTGTGGGACACCGCCTTTATGGTGCAGGGCATGATTGAGACCGACCTCAGGGACGAGTTCAAGGTGCATTTGTATATGTGTATGTGTGTGTGTGTGTGTTGCATGCGTGTGTTACATGCGTGTGTTGCATGCGTGTGTGTGTGTTGCATGCGTGTGTGTGTGTGCGTGTGTGTGTGTGTGTGTGTGTGTGTGTGTGTGTGTGTGTGTGTGTGTGTTGCATGTGTGTGTGTTGCATGTGTGTGTGTGTCTTCGCTTGCAATCACGGTGCATTCGCTATTGATGCGTTGACACCTGCAACTGAGTTGCTGGTCACCATATGGGCACATGGCCTCACCCCCATACCACCGCACTGCGTCCTTTCTGATCGTTTCTGACCACTGAACGGGTCTCCGTGACCAGGATGTGTTCCGCAAAGCACACGACTACATCGATGTCGCCCAGGTGCAGCGCAACACATGCGCACACAGCACAACCACACGCAAACGCATATGCACTCTATCATTAGCTGTCCTGTGTCACCAGCTCCCCAATTGCCATCTCTCCTCCCCCCAACACTCCTCCACCTGCAATCGTCACCCCTGACCATCCCTCCCCCCCCCGCCAACACAACCAATCAACACCACGCAACAGATCCAGCACAACCACCCGGAGCACCGCCGCTACTACCGTGACGAGACCAAGGGCGGCTGGCCCTTCAGCACCCGCGCAATGGGCTGGATCGTCGCAGACTGCACAGGCGAAGGTTGGTTGGTTGTGCTTGTGTGGTTGTGGTTGTGGTTGTGTGTTTGTGTTTGTGCTTGTGTTTGTGGTTGTGGTTCTCATACGTGCTTTGCGTTTGTTTGCTCCTCGCCACTTCCAACCACCCACCACCACCAACCACCACCGTCAGGGCTGAAGGGTGCGCTGATCTGCAAGCGCAACAACTACACGCCGACGCCGCTGTCTGATTCGCGTCTGTTTGACGCCGTCGAAATTCTGCTCAAGATGCAGAACAGCACGGGCGGTTATGCCACGTGCGAGAAGACGCGCGGCTCGCACCTCTTTGAGTGGTTCAACGCATCGGAGGTGTTTGGCGAGATTATGATCGACTACGACTACGTAGAGTGTACAAGCTCCGCCCTGCAGGGGCTGTGCCAGTTCCGCGACATGTACCCGGACCACCGCCGGAAGGAGGTCGACGCAGCTATCACCCGCGCCATCAAGTCAGTCTTTGCGGATGTGTCTGTGCTGTTGGCTTTGGCGTTTTGGAGTCTCGTTTGCATCGCATGGCGTTTGCGTGCGATGAACCCCCGCCCGCCCGCGTGCTCGTTGTTGCACACATGTCTTGCACCTTTCACACCCTCGCCCCTAGCTCATCCCCCACCACTCCGCACACACCACCACCACCACCACCACCACCACCACCCTCTCCCCTCCGTCCGACCTCGCCAGCTACCTGTTCCGGATGCAGCGTGCGGACGGGTCGTTTGAGGGCATGTGGGGCATCTGCTTCACGTACGGCACGTGGTTTGCCCTTGACGGTCTCGGCGCGGCCGGATACGATTGCACAGACCCGCGCATCATGAAGGCATGCGACTTTCTCGCTTCCAAGCAGAAGCCAGACGGAGGGTGCGTTCGGTGTGTGTACTTTGTGTGTGTGTATGTATGCATTGTGTGTGTCTGTGTGTGTGTATGTGTATGTATGCATTGTGTGTGTCTGTGTGTGTGTGTCTGCATTTGTGTCTGTGTGTCTGTCTGTGTCTGTCTGTGCGTGCATTGTGTGTCTGTGTCTGTCTGTGTCTGTGTGTCTGTACCTGTACATGTACCTGATTCCGTTCACCTGTCCGCTCGTAACTATAGCCAGACCTCACATTCGTCTCACACCACCACCACCCCTTGCCAGGTGGGGCGAGACGTTCCTGTCGTGCGTGCACCGCGAATACTCGCAGCATCCAAAGTCGCAGGTGGTCAACACCGCGTGGGCCGTTCTCGGCCTCCTCAAGGTTTGGAATGGTGGTGGTTGTGATGATGGTGTTGGTCGTGATGCTGGTGGTGGTGATCTTTGTGGCCTTGGTGCTGTAGCCGTTTTGTTGATGTCCTTTTTTTTGTGGCCATTTCTTCGTGTTTTCTTCTGGCTGCAGCGTCGCCGAGACACACACACACACACACACACACACACGCGCGCGCGCGCGTGCGCACACACACACACACACACACACACACACACACACACACACACACACACACACACACACACACACTAGTAG